TCTCCAAAAAGAGTAGGCTTCTATTCTGACCCTCATCTTATCCCCATGCAAAATTTCATAAGGATCGGGCCATAAATGCGATCTGTATATGATATCCTGATATCCTAACTACTTAGTTTTGTTAGCTGTAGAAATATTACCAAATGTTTAATTCAAAATGAAAATATGCCAAAAAAATATGACAAAATTGAAAAAATATGAGAAAATTTTACAAAATCAGTATTTTCATCTTTAGAGAGATATTTTTATGCGATTTTTTTAGACGTTTTTTCTTTCCTGCCAAGAGGCCATTCTAAATTAATGAGAACTGTCGAAATCAGTTCAGCCGTTCTCGACATATAAGAGATCTTTCAAGCATATCCTCTTTGATAGACATATATATTGCACATATTTAGCTATTTATCCGATTTTTTGGATGTTAACATCAATGTAAAGATCAGAAGTAACATTGTTATGGCTTTGTGATTTCGCCGGGATTTAAAATATTAGCGGTTTAATGAAAATTTTGAATTTTTTCAACACAAAAGATATGGTCTATTTTACCCGCTAAATATTATCCGATGACCACCCAAATTGGTAGGCTTCTTCCCTGCCCTAAACTCTAGCTACATGCGAAATTCCGCGTCGATTGGTCTATAATTGCGACCTGTACAGCTACTGCAAAATCCGACATTTTTTCAGTATTTGGTCCATTTCAACCCCTAAACATTTGGCGATCATCTCCAAAAGAAATAGGGTTCTATTCTGACCTCAACCCCACCTACATTCTAAATTTCGTGAAGATCGGGCCATAATTGCGACCTGTAGAGTGATTACAAATTAACATGGACAGACGGACAGACGGACAGACGGACGGACGGACATACATAGCTAGATCGACTCAGCTCGGCGAGCTAGGAAGATCCATATATACTTTCCTATGTGGGAAACCAATATTTCGAGGTGTTACATAATTTCTGGCCCAATCAAACTTATAATACCCCCAACACATAGTGTTGTAGGGTATAAAAAGGACCAAAAATAGACATTTGGTGACTCACTTGAGCGTTAATATTTCCAACCAAAAAAAAAATAATAATAATAATCTTCGTATTTTTATGTGTAATATTACCAAGGAAACTATATACCTTGAATAAAAGGATTCCAAGGAATCTTGATGCGAAAATTTCCAAAATTGTGGAAGAGGGGAAAAATCTATTTAGGTTACTTTTCGATGACTTTCAAAAAGCCGATACACGTGTCTCCCATTTTGAGCTGTATTTTCATAATATGCTGAATTTTCCTTATAATTATTTTTTGTATTGCACACCGTAATTTTGTAATATATTTTAATTTGCTAATATTTCCAAATGGACCAGTTTAGTGACTCGCTTGAAGGTATCCTGGTATTGTTATCACTAATATTTCCGAAGAAATTCTATATCTAAAATGCAAAAATTCCTGGGAATTTTGAACCAATAATTTCAAAAACTATTGTGGTGGAGTGAACTTGTCCCCTCAATATAGTTTACTTTGCGCCCCTGCGCCCAATTGTCTTCTATTTTCAGCTTTACTCTCATATTCCACTGAGTTTCTCCTGTAATTATTTTTTCTGTTACACAGTGTTATTTTTGTTATTGACTTTTCCTTCCACTCCCTTTCGTATGTTCATTTATTAAAGGCATTATTATTTTCCTTTATTTTATCAGTTATTAAAGTTGGCCCTTCATATAGTGCCCTTGCTGAGAGAATTTTGTAGCTGATTTAAAAAAAGGATGAACACAAAAAAAAAAATTCCAAAGTCTTTGTGCGAATGGCAAGGGCCGATAAGATATTGTCTTGTTGCCCTCTATCATATTTGTTGTTGTTGTAAATATTTCCATTTTGTTGTTGTTAGCTACTGATGCAAAGGGACAACGATTTGTCTTATTGCTCTGTATTTCTCGATTTCTCATGCAAGTCCTTTGCATAAGTTAATTGCTTTTTAACACATTGTTTTCTTATTTTTACTTTGCCTTCTATTGCCATTTGCAACCGGAATCAAATAAAGGAATATGATTTTCACTTTAGTCTGAGCCAGGATACATTAAAAGCAGAAGACTGAGACCCATTTTTTAATTACAATTGTTTCTGCTTCTGGTGCCACTCGAAATGAAAAATCATTTTCAAAAATTCTCATAGGTGAAATATTTATGTGGGGTTTGATGACTAAATATTTTGATGACATATGAAACTCATATCTGAATCCTTGACGTTCAAGAACAAAATTGGATAAATAAAATTCGAAAATATTTCATAAATTTTTTGATCAAATTTTACTTGGCCTTTTTTCGAGTTAATGCAAGAAAGTAATATAGAAATATGTTTTAGAATGAATGTGTCAAAAGAAGAAATATTCTACACAAAATTCCACTAATAATCTCAGAGAAAAACATATGTCTAGGTATAACAGTTTTTAATAAAATTACAATTAAAATTTGTATTGTAAAAGTGAAAATTATGTGTTTATGTTTTTTACTGCCAATTTAACAGATTTCCATTCTAGGTCAAAATCTCCCTTTAATACTTCATATTTTGGAGAAAGTGTCAGAGAAATTTATATTCTAGATCAAATTTCATTATGAGTCTCTAAGGAAAGAAAATTTGTATACTTAATATGTATATATAATTAATATGGTATATGTTTTGTTGTTTAAAAAAAAAGCTTATTTTAATTTTCGACAAATTAAGTCGTTTTTCCGAATTCGGTGCAAATTTCTTATAATTTTTGGCTGAGTTACAGAGAATTCCAAGTGGATTTGTTTGCACTCGGTTTCTAGATCAAAACTCTTAAAAGGATTTCGGTTTCCTAGGCCAAAATTTTTGAGCCTTCATATACCGGGTAAGAAGAAAAAAAAATACTGCAACCAACTTCAGACTGTTGTCATTTCTAATCCACTCCGTCCGACAGCTGTTAAAATTATTCCAGTGACAGCTCATTATATTGTTTACAAGCTTACAAAAGCATTTAGGTGAGAAGTTTCCAAAAAAAAAAAGTTATTCGTGATGAAATTCAAGCGTGATAGTGTGATTTCTTTATATTTGGCTGGAAAACTACCAGTGGCTATCGTTAGAGCACTACAGCATTTAAATGTGAATATATCTTTTGTGTCTCGTACCATCGCTCGTTACCGTGATACTGGTAGCGTAGCCAGACAGTCAAGGAAGTGGATGGAAGAAAACAGCAACATCAGCAGAAATAGTTCGAAAAGTAAAGAAGCGACTTAATCGAAACCAGCGTCGCAGTGGCCGAAAAATGGCTCCTGAGCTGGACATATCGCAATATTTCATTCGGCAAATATTGAAAAATGAGCTTGGGGTAAAGTCATTGAAATTCCAAAAAGTGCAAGAACTTACACCGCAACGGAAAGAAAATAGACTCAAAAGAGCTAAAGAGTTGCTTCGCTTGGCCAAAAGTGGTGAACTGCCGAATTTGGTTTTCTCCGATGATAAAACATTCGTTGTCAAGCAGTTTGTAAACAAAAAAAATGATTGTCTTCACTTGCTAAAGATCAGCTGAAAATGTGCACTTTCGGTTGGCCACCAGAACTTAAGCGCCGGCCATGGTGATGGTCTGGACCGCCATAACAGTTAATCGACCGTGACATCAGAATAAATGACGAATATTATCGCGCAAATATTCTGGATGGTGTATTAAAGTCTTGGGCACGCAAACATTTTGGCTGCAGACCTTGGACATTTACAAAATGAGGCTCCTCGCTTCATTTTCAGCGCACAATGGCCACCAAAATCTCCGGATACCAATCCGTTGGATTATTGTGTCTGGTGTATTTTGGAAAGCAAGGTTGTAACTAAAAAATACAAACAAACAAGCGCTTCGCCGGGAATGGCCAAAATACCGCGGAGCAACATTCGGTCAGCGTGTGACGGTTTCATTTACCGGTTGAAGGCCGTAATTCGTGCCAAAGCTGATCAATTTGAATAAATCTAAACTTATTCAAAAATGTTAATGCTACTTCCGACAATTTTGGCTTTCATTCAATAAAATTAAAAAAAAAAATTAAAACTTATGGCGTTGGACTTTGTTCCAGTTTTTTTTTATCTCACCCTGCATGGTTACCAAATATATTCAAGGCATAGTCATAAACAACAAAAGAACGTACAGAATGATTTTTTAGCTACTACCTATTTGGCAACACTGGTTTTACAATTTAACGCACTTTTAGTGTTTTATTTCACTGTCAAACATCTGCAGCTGGGTCTATAATTTAACCATGAATTGTTTTAGAAACGAACAACGCTTGCAAATCATTGAATTTTATTATTAAAATGCTCATTCGTTTAAGAAAGTGCATCACACGCTTCTTGAATTTTGCGACAAAGCCAATTTTTGGCTCAATGGGTTCAAAAATTAGCAGCATCATCGCACCGTATTTCTTCAAAGATGCTGCGAATCGTAACGTAACTGTGAATGGTAAGCGCCACCTCGAGACAATATCTAACTTTTCTTTTTTGCACAAAATGCAAGAGTCTGATTTGCATGTCGTGTGGTTTCAACAAGGCGACGCCGCATAACAATGGATTTATTGTGAGGCAATTTGGAACATTTTATTTCACATTCGAAGCCAGTTTTAAGATTTAACGCCTTTAGACTATTTTTTGTGGGGCTATGTTATAGCTCATGTATATACAGAAGAGCCCGATTTAATTGACGCATTGGAAAATAACACTGAAGCATTTATGTCGACACCGACCGAAATTTTGGAAGGAGTTGGACCCTTTAAGTAGTCGCGCAGTCACGGTCAACATTTGCATGAAATTATTTTCAAACATCAATTATATGAACCGTTCTATCAATTCAAATAAAAATTTCATGAATTTTTCGGAATATTGTTTTTTTTTTTTTTTCTTAATTTCTCTAGCTCCTAAAAAATCACCCTTTAGTTGCAAAATATCCAAGAAAATGAATAAAACAACAGTTATCATTTTTTTTTTCAATTTTTTCTTCTATTTCTTTCTAGCACATGGTGCAAGCTAGCGTTGCGCCCTATCCTGGCGCACCGGCTGGCTATCCACCATCGGCGGCCCAAGTGCAGGCCTCAACAGATGGCCTATCAATGGCTGTGACATCGGTCAAGGCAGATCCTCTAGCACAAATGAAAAACGATGCTGTAACAGCTGCGGCTGCCGCAGCAGCTGCTGCCGCCGGTAATAATACAGGTGCCAATAATACAAATTCGGCTGCTACCACCACCGCTGCTGCTCAAATGTATTTGCAACAGAAAAAGGTAGGTGGAAACACATTTAATAGTTTTTTTTTTATTTAAATTAAACATTATATAGAAAAAGTTAATGCTCGTATAATCTGCAAAACAAGAATATAAAAAATTCAAAAAAAAAAAATATATATGTAGAACTTGTGTACGGAAACATTTGGAAATGGTTGGTTTTTGTTAAGTTTCTTTTCATTATTGTCTTTGAATTGTGTGCGGAAATCTATAGAAAAACGATTTAATAAATCTTAATCTGAATGCATTTCATATATTTTGTATTATAATTACATACATACCTACCTATGACTTTTGTGAATAGAATATTTCATATATTATATGTTAATACCTGTCAATGTAAGCGGTGGATTTGAAGGCTCTAGTTCTCAAAAAAAGTGTAATAATTTATAAAAGGAGAAAAAAAACTATTAGACATGGATATTCTGTTATATATATTTTAATTATATATTATAATAAATTTTTTTTTTTTAAATTTTAGGAAACTTATTAAATAAAGGAAAAAGTGAAAAAATATATTTTTATACCCTCAGCCATATGGCTAGAGAGAGTATGTACCATTCGATAAGGCCAAAACGTGCCTTATCGAAATAACGGTTTTAGGACCCTAGATCTTTTGGACCAAATCCATATCAGGACACATCGAGTCGATCTAGCGATGTCCGTCCGTCCGTCTGTCCTCCTGGCTGATGCGCAAGACAACTTTCGAAGGGAGTTTCCGATTTGGCCAAAACTTGGTACTTAGTAATATTATTATCAAACTTAGATCGAGTTCGGAGATGGAGAATACCGACCCACTGTTTCTGGTACCTCACTCACAAAAGGTCGAACTTTTCAAAGAAAATATTTTACCACACAAATAGAGAAAGAATAATCTGATTTTACTCCCACTTTGCAACTTGTAACATTTGCATCAGTGCTAGTTCAGGTGCGAAAAATTGTAGAGATCGGATTCATCCTTCTGGTACCTCCCCTACATAGGTCCAAAGTTTTGAATAACCAAAACAATTGTAAAATCCATAATAAGCATTTGGTTCTCTTCAAATTATACACATCACAATATATTTATTGATTCGAGGTCTAGTGTGAAAACGGGGTATATCGATCCACTCATTCTGGTACCTCCCCCACGAAGAGTCAAAATTTTAAATATCCACAAGGCTCATAAAACGTGAATTTAACATCCGATTTCATTCAGACTTGGTACACTTTAATATTTCCATCAACACAGGATCTGTTGTAAAGATGGTAGAGATCAGACCATTTCTTCTGGTACATCCCCCATAAAGGTTCGCAGGTTTGAATAACCAAAACGATTCTAAAATCCAAAAGAAGCATATGGTTCTCTTCAAATTACACACATCACAATATTTTTGTTGACCCGAGGTCTAGTGTGAAAACGGGATATATCGGTTCACTCCTTCTGGTACCTCCCCCACAAATGGTCAAAATTTTGAATATCCATGAAGCTCATAAAACGTGAATTTAACATCCGATTTCATTCAGACTTGGTACACTTTAATATTTCCATCAACCCAGGCTCTGTTGTAAAGATGGTAGAGATCGAAACAACCCTTCCGGTACACTCCCCCCCCCCCCCCCCCCCCCCCTACCGCAAGATCTTTTGTGAAGATGATTTATATCTGCGAACCCCCTCTGGTACCTCACCCACAACGGGTCACAATTTTCAATACTTTAATGTGTCGTAAATTGCGAAAGAAGCTGCGTTTCTTTACAACTTGCTATATGTGTCTAAAATGTCTCTCAACCTGGATTTGCCCATACCAATCCTTTTATCTGTATAGGATGAAGTATAAAAAATGGAATACTTCGGTGATATATCTGGTACCTCACGCACATTTTAACATTTTCTAAAAATTATCACATATCTCATATAAAGTGAAGGAAGTAATGAATATTGTCCAAACTTGGCACGTCGCAATATTTTATTTATTTAAGTCCGATACGAAATGGACAATATTGGCCCATTCCCTCCGATTCTACTCCATAGAGGGTCAACAATTTACACAGTCATAACAGAAGTCAAAATATATTTAAATATTCAAACATTGGCTGAGGGTATAAATTGGTCGGCAAAACCGACAGATACTTGTTTAAAATACAATTTGAAATGGTTTTCTCTAAAAAAAACCTTTTCCAACATTAAGCAATGCAGAGATTTTTATGGCGAAATATTGGCATACATTGAGCAAGTTCTTGATACAAAAACTATTTTGAATGTGTAACGAAAGAAGCTTTATCCAAACTTCATTGCAAACAATTAAATATTTCATTTGAGAACATTGCTTTTAAAATAATATGAGTTTTTCATAACGAAATCAAACTTTCCTAATTCATATTTCAATATATTGTATGTTCGGATTAAATCATAAGCCGATCAATGTTGTTGATGCAAATCAATTTTTTTTTTGTTTTTTTTTTATTTTTATTTTATTATTTGAGGAAGAGAAATGCCAAATGCCAAACTTTTTTTTTTGAGAACTAGAGTTTTAAATAGAATTACAAATAAAAAAAAATAGGTAGCAAGAAAGAATAAAACAAATGCAGAACTAGACCGCATGTTTGTATGATTATTATTACCCGCATTGTAATAAATCCTTTAACATTTTTTTATTGCCCAATATTCCCCCGCCACCCCCCTCAACCCCTTGTCTAACATGGTGAATTTAAAACTACGTAATCCGTAATTGCTTTTATATATTTAGTTTAACAGGCAACTATCATTGGGCAAGTTTATAATGTATATTATTTTAATTAAAAAAAAAAAAATCAAAAAATGTTTATAAGCATGGATTAATATCTATTGTTTAATCAATTAACTAGATATAATGAATTACAGACAATTACCACATAAGTTGATGTTATCCCAAGAACGTCTTTTTAATTTATTTTAAGGAGTTCCACATTGTAAGTCTTTAGCGCAAACAGTTGATTTTCTCTAGAGTACGGTTATGATGACAAAATTCTACAATCATCATAGAAATTATTTATTCCATGTTTGAGCTATAAGAATGGGAAGATATACATTTATGCCAGGGATCGGCAACGTGTATACATCATATATTAAATCATTGCTAGAATTTTAAATAATCATGAAAACAACCAGTAGCTGCATAATGGACTAACCGAGGAAGACTGGCATCAAATTCGATATCAATCAAAATTAATTTTTGTGTGCTTATCTTAGATTGATTAATACGAGGGCAGTTCAGAAACTTCTTGGTAGCCTAGCACAAAAAACGCGATATAAACAGACAAAAGTGTTAAGTGTTTTGGAAACTTCCATCTCTGTTATGAACACATGTTAAATTTTGTTTCGATCTTTCAACTCCTTCACATAGAAACAGGTGTTCAAAAAAGACGCATCCGCAATTTTTATACCCTACACCACAAGGGGTATTATGTCTTTGTGCATTTGTTTGTAACAGGCAAAAGGAAACGAGATAGACCCATAGTTCCTTTTGATGATCTGCATAGAATCGCATTCTGAGTCGATTTATGCGTGTCCGTCTGTCCGTCTGTCCATGTATTTTTGTGAACAAAGTACAGTTCGCATTTTTTACCCGATCCAGATGAAATTTTGCACAAATCATTTGTTTGGCCCAAAGACGAACCCTATTAAAATTTGAGATAATCTGTAAAAATTTAGATATAGCTCCCATATATATCTTCGTCCGATTTGCCTTTTATTGTGCACCAAACGTGTAATATCAGCCCGAATAGTATGGAATTTTGCACATTCAACTAAATTCAACTGAAAATAAGTATGCCAAATTTGATCGAAATCGGTTCAGATATAGCTATAGCTCCCATATATATTGTTCATCCGATTTGTTATATTTGTTACCCACAGCCGTAAAATGCACTCTGTAACAACAATATTTGGGGAAATATATAAAATGCAGCTCAGAAATACCTTTGCTAAATTTTATCAAGATCGGTTCAGATGTGGATGTAGCTCCCATATATAACTTCGTCCGATTTACCTTTAATTGTGCACCAAACGTCTAATATTTGCCCAAATGGGATGAAATTTGGCACTTACGACCGAATTGAGTCTAGAAGGTAGTATGTCAAATTTGGTGAAGATAGGTTCAGATATAGCTATAGCTTCCATATATATTGTTCATCCGATTTGTTATATTTGTTACCCACAGCCGTAATTTGCACTCCGTAACAACGATATTCAGGGAAATATATGAAATACAGCTCAGAAATACCTTTGCTAAATTATATTGAGATTGGTTCAGATTTGGATATATCTCCCATAGATAACTTCGTCCGATTAACTTTTTATTGTGCACCAAACGTCTAATATTTGCCCAAATGGAATGAAATTTGGCTCTTACGACCGAATTGAGCCTAAAAGCTAGTATGTCAAATTTGGTGAAGATCGATTCGGATATAGCTATAGCTCCCATATATATTGTTCATGCGATTTGTTATATTTGTTACCCACAGCCGTAATATGCATTCCGTAACAACGATATTCAGGGAAATATATGAAATACAGTTCAGAAATATCTTTGCCAATTATTATCAAGATCGGTTCAGATTTGGATATAGCTCCCATATATATATCAAATGGACAATACAAGTCCGAATTAAAATGCTTCGGCATATTTAGTCCTTTGAACTTTAAATTATAATCATAGCGTGTATGATTAAATTCTCCCATAAAAACTTTTAATTGTTATGCGGAGCACTACTAAATTAGCAAAGTCGTGTAGGGTATCATAAAGTCGACATGATATGGTGTTAAATGATCGACGAATAAAAGAGCGTGAAATTGCTTATATCATGGGCATCTCAAATGATCGAGTCCATTTAATTTTGCATGAAGAACAGAACTACAGATGAAAAAGCTTTCCGCAAGATGGGTGTCCCGTTTGTTCGATCGATCAGTCGATCAAAAACGCATAAGAATGAACATTTCCCAAGCTTGTTTGGACCGTTTTAAGCGATTTTAAGCGTTGTTTCTTTGCTGTTGGTGAGACATGGATCCACCCACCACTATACTCCAGAGACAAAAGAACAATCCAAACAATGGACTGAAGCTGGAGGAAGTGCCCCAAAGAAGGCAAAAACAATTCAATCGGCTGGTAAGGTTATGGCAACGGGTTTTTTGGCACTTCAAAGGTATTTAATTGATTGACTATCTGCAAAAGGGTAAAACAATAAATTCAGAGTACTATTGGATCAATTTATACATGTGTACAAGTTCGAGAAAATCATCCTGGCTTTACGTTCAGATGTGTAATTGAAAAATATCGACACATTCCATGTCTAATAAAATGTATTTTCAAGAATTCCAATTGTTTCCTAAAAGTATGCACCATTCATATATGAAACTTTACTTGCGACAGTAATGGAAAATGTAGTTTTGTTTTTTATTTTTCATTTCATTGACTCTTGATTCTTTTTGAAGATTTTTGTTAACAAAAAAAGCGAATATAAAAACTTTTACGATATTTTTTTATTGAAAAAATGGGCAATTTTTATTTATTACCTAAAAGTATGCAACATTCATGTATAAAAACTGCAACAACATACATGTATAAATTTTATATTGTTTTTCATTTTCCGTTGTCATTTTATTGAAATATTTCAAGGTTTTTGTTGAAAAAAAAATCAATATAAAATAGTGCATGATTTTTGTTTTCGTCAAGTGATTTTTCGTTTGATTACATTGCAGTTTTTTCCGATAGAGCTCAAAAACATTTGAAGCCGTTCCATATCATTCATTCATTTACCTACTCACTCGTTCGTTTTAATTTCAATCTATCAGAAAAATGTTTTCCAACGAAATGGTAGCAACCATTTTTTGCTTTTTTTCATTTCGATAATTGAAGGGAAAATCTGTTCTCAATTGGAACAATTTTGCAAATTTTAAATTAAAATTAAAGTGGAAAATGTCAGCAATTTAATAAGGGGTATTTCGTTAAAAATCTTGAAAAAAAAATTATACATATTGGAATTTCTAATTGATTTTGTTTTTCAATCCAAGCTAAAAACAGAAAATACAATGGACTGAGGTCTCTTTTTGCAGCACCAAAATGAGACTTTTTTATTTTTGGTGGGCATTATTAAAAGTATAGGAAATCGAAGCTAAACACACCATAATTATTGCATATTTTGTGGCGCGTATGAAAATGAAAAATCCACTAAAGATCGTGGATTTAATTTAATATCATATTTCAACATGAGTTGGATTTTTTCACAAACGACTAAATTTAGCCTAAAAAAAGTACATAAAATTTGGTGAAAATCGGTTCAGATATAGCTATAGCTCCCATATATATTGTTCATCCGATTTGTTATTTTAGTCCTCCGCATCCGTAACATGCACTCTGTAACAACAATATTTGGGGAAATATATCAACTACAGCTCAGAAATACCTTTGCTAAATTATATTGAGATCGGTTCAGATTTGGATATAGCTCCCATATATATCTTTATCTGATTTCAAATTAATTTTGCACCAAATGGGCAATACAAGTCCGAATTTAAAAGATACAAATGCTTCGGCATATTTAGTCCTTTGAACTTTAAATTATGATTATGGTCATAGCGTGTATGATTAAATTCTTAATATTTATTTAGGTAAATGGAAGGCTCCGATCGACTATATCCGGTAACTCACGCACAATTTAACGTTTCCTAAAAATGATCACATATCTACAGGGTTGCCCATATTCGACGGACCCATCTGGCAACGTCATAACTTTTGACAGAGATGTCACATCGCTAAATGACATACCGCGTTTGAAGCGTCAGTCCAAGCAGATTTTTACCATGAACCAAAACACGCCACGCGAGCGCTCTGAAATTTACATTCAACAGAAGAAGTCAATTGTGAAAACTCAACGTGCTTTTAAAACATTAAAAAATGTGAGAAGTGCGCCTTCTAAGAACACCATTAAGCGTTTATACGAAAAATTTTCGACTGGTAAGGCTCTTTCTAATCCGAAGAGGCCATATAAAAGTCGACCAAGGCGATCGGCCGAGAATGTCGCTGCCGTACAAGCCAGTGTTGAGAGGTTCCCAAGAACATCCCAAAAACGCCGTTCTCAGCAGTTGGGCATGGCTCGGTCCATTTTACAACGGATTATTCGCTTTGATTTGCATTTGTTCCCGTACAAAATTCAATTGATACAAAGAATGTTGACTGCGGACAAGCCTCGTCGATTGGAATGGGCCCATGGGTCCGTCGAATATGGGCAACCCTGTACCCCTTGATTTTCGGTATTTTGAAGGTAGCGGTCTCAATTTCCAATTCCAAATCAATTGTAAATTTGCAGTTCGAGTTCCATGAATACATTTTAACTCCTCCTTTTTATCGGTACTTTGGGGTTTCGGCCTATATCTCCGACCAATTCAACTGTACAGACTTGTTTAAATTGGTCAACTTTGGCACGAATTATGGCCTTCAAACGGCCAATGAAACTGTCACTAGCTGCCCGAATGTTGCTCTGCCGTATTTTGACCCATTCCCGGAGAAGCGCTTGCTTTAGTTGATCGACACATTAGTACTTTTAGTGCCAACCTTGCTTTCCAAAATACGCCAGACACAATAATCCAAAGGAATGGTATCCGGAGATTTTGGTAGCCATTGTTCGCTGGAAATGAAGCGAAAAACCTCATTTTGTAACCCTTCTTGGGTGGCGCATGCTGTTTGCGATGGTGCTGAGTCCTGTTAGAATGTCCAAGGTCTGCGGCCAAAATGTTTGCGTACCCAAGGCTTTAATACACCCTCCAGAATATTTTCTCGATAATATTCGGCATTTATTCTGATGCCATGGTCGATTAATACGAGCGGAGAGCGACCATCGGCTGTTATGGCGGCCCACATCATCACCATGGTCGGCGCTTGAGTTCTGGTGACCTGGACGGCCGAAGGTGCACATTTTCAACTGACCTCTTTGGCAAGTAAACACGACCATTTTGTTTGTTTACAAACTGCTGGACAACGAATGTTTTCTCATCGGAGAAAGCCACTTTCGGCCAAGCGAGGCAACTCTTAAGCTATTTTCTTTCAGTTGCGGTGTAAGTTTTTGCACTTTTTGGAATTTCAATGGCTTTACCCCGAGCTCATTTTTCAATATTAGCCGAATGTTCAGCTCACGAGCCATTTTTCGGCTACTGCGACACGGGTTTCGATCAAGTCGCTTCATTACTTTTCGAACCAATTCTGCAGACGTCTGGCTACGCTACCAGTATCACGGTAACTAGCAATGGTACGAGACACAAAAGATTTATTCACATTTAAATGCTGGAGTGCTCTAACCGTAGTCACTTGTGGTTTTCCAGCCAAATATAAAGAAATCACACTATCACGCTTGAATTCCATCACGAATTACTTTTTCTTTCTGAAAAATTCTCACCAAAATGCTTTTGTACGCTTGTAAACAATATAATGAGCTGTCACTGGAATAATTTTTACAGCTGTCGAACGAGTGGGTTAAGAATGACAACAGTCTGAAGTTGGTTGCAGTTTTTTTCATTTCGCCCTGTATAGCCTTTATACTATGTATGGTGGAGGGTATAAATAAGTTGTATATTTATTTATATAAATGAATATAAGTTGAAAGAAGGCCTACATATGCCCAACAAAGAAAAACATATTAAACTATTTTTATCGCTTCTAAAGCACAATGGTCTGCTGGGTTGCATATATGCTACGAGACGTAGAATTGATATTTACCAATTTCATCTATAACTCGATTAGTTCGGTAGGATATGTTGCAATACCTTAGACATTGTATATTTATACTACAACAATTTGTTTGCTAATTGTTTTATTCTAACGATTACTTACCTACATTTCCAGCATGAATTCCAGCCTTGGAAACTGAAAATTATATTTAAATGTTAAAAAAAAATATTTTGTGACAAAAATATTCCACAATATTATTGACTCATCTATAGAGTAGTGATGAAGTTGGGTCGATCCTGTGACTATTTTTGGATATTTTACAATTTGGTTTTCATTGTACAAATGTTAAAAAATCTACATCATTTTTGCTTAGAGTTAAATAAACACACACGCACACACATACAATTTGACTTTAGTGATCCTGCTTGAAGGACCAGAAAAAAAACAGACATGTTCAAAATATTTGTTTGTATTTTTTACAACTTTTCATAATTAGTACAGACATTCAACTCCATATCTGTAACCCTGTTTTGTCCAAACCTCTACCTGTTTCCAACACTTTATTGCTCTCTCTCTCTCTCCCCCTCTCTCTTGTTAAGCGTGTGAGTGTAATACATATGGCATGTGGCAAATGAAAAACAAATAGTTAACATTTTTTGTATTTCAGTAAAAAAAAAATAAAAAAATAAAACGAAAACATACACATATTTTTGCAATTGGTTGGTGTTGGTTGGTTGGTTATGACTTTTAGAAAACTTCATGATAATAACCTTTTTTTTCTCACTGTTGCAAGACCACAAATTAAAAAAAAGAAATCGAAAAATATTACAAAACCATTTCAAATATTTTAGAAATTGAATTTCAAACTAAATCTCTCTGTACTGTGTGTAAACTTTATCACAGAATCCAATGGCAAGTAAAGCGCCACCACAACAACAGCTACAACAACAGCAACATGTCCAGCAGTTGCAACAGCAACAGTATATTAGTAATGGTATGGCTACAACCACAACACCAACAGCATCAATTTCTAATGGTAGTGGTGGCAATGGTACGGTTAATGCTGTTGCTAACTCTAGAGCTGTAGTATCCTTGGCGAATGCAACAACATCGATATTGGAATTAAACGCCCTGCAGCAACAGCAGCATCAGCAACAAATACTCACAACATCCCAACATCAGTTGATATCCCAGGGTCCTGTGCTAAATGGTATGGCACTAACTAATGACTGTGGTGCTGCTGCTGGTGGTGGTGGTGTGGTTAATGGCGGCTTAACCTCGGCGGCAGCTAGTGATAGTAAAATACAACAACAACAACAACAAAATTCCCAACTACAGCATAATTCGTCACCACAACAGTATCATCAATCACACCTGCAGCAAAATCAAAATACCCAATTTTTTCAGCATCATCATCAACAGCTCCACCTACAGCAAACTCTGCCTTCCCGTCATTTTCACCAATGCCCGCAGCAACAGCAACAAAATAAATATCTGCCACAGCAACAACCAACAATCTCTCAGCCGAACAGTGTTAGCATTGTGAGTTTTAAAATTAAAAAAAAAAAACTGTTTTTTGGTATATTTTAAGAACAATTCGAACCAGTTCAGTTAATAAAAAAATAATTTTGAAATTTCGAATGGAATTCCTGTTTATTAGATTCATAAATATACTAGGATTATTAAAAGGAATTTATCAATTGGAAACCACAAAACCGAAATATTTTTATCTTAACTCCTTGAAACGATCTTCTTGTCTTTTTCCCTGAAATTCGAATAGAACTTAGTTTGACTTTAACTATGGTTGATGAAATTAATTTTTATGAAAATACCCACAATAGTTTTTAAAAAAAATATTTTTTAAATAAAAAAAAATCACGAAAGTCCTTGAATATCGACGATCTACCAAAAAATAATCAAGTCCTTGAAAGCATTTTTTTAGTTCACCAAAGTCCTTGAATAATATATTTTGGGAAAATTATTAATTTATTTCCACTATATATATATTTTTTCAAATACAATAATTCTTAAAAATCAACGTTTTCCTTAAACTTTATTTTTATATAAAATATTCTTAAAAATTAGTTAAAAAAAAACACGAAAGTCTTAAAATTTACTTTTTTTACAAATTGAACCAGGCCTTGAGAATTATTTTAATATATTATATATACATATATTTTATATATTATGTATACGTATATTTTATATATACATATATTTTTATAATAACACATAGAAAAGATCTTCTTGACAGTTTCCATGAACTTGGTTTGACATCAAGGATGGTTAAGATTATTAAAATTTATTTAAAAAAATCTACGATAGTTTCTAAAACAGTTATTATACCCTTGGCCATATGGCTACAGAGGGTACATATCATTTGATGCTGCCAAAAGGGGCCTCATCGAAATAATGGTTTTAGATCTAGGTCTCTTAGGACCAAATCCGTTTCGGGACATTTGCAGTCGATCTGGCGATGTCCGCCCGTCTATCTGCTGGCTGCCGCACACGATAACTCTGACAGGCAGTATCCGATTATCAAACTTAGATCGTGTTCGGAGATGGGAAATATCGGCCAACATCCCTCACAAAAGCTCAAGAAAAAATATATTTCACTGCACTTAAAGAGAAAGGATAATCCGATTTTGCTGCAACTTTGCAAATCCTAATATTTGCATCAGTGCTAGGTCAGGTGCGAAAATGGATAATATCGATACACTCTGTCAAAATGGTCAAAATTTTGAACAATTATGACTCTTATAAAATGTGATGGGAGTGTCCGATTATCTTCAAATTACACATATCACAATATTTTTCTTAACCGAAGGTCTGGTCTAAAAATGGAATATATTAGCCACTTATTCTGGTACCTCCCCCACAAAGGGTCAACATTTTAATATTCATGAAACTCATAAACCACGAAAGTAAGGTCCGATTCCATTCAGATATGACACGTCTCAATGTTTCTATCAACAAAATATATGTTATAAAGATGACAGATATCGGATCATTTCTATTCTGAGATTTATAGTGAAATTTTGTGTAGAATATTTCTTGTTTTGACAACTTCTTCCTAAATCGAAACTTTATGCTACTTTCAGGCATAAACTCTAAAAAAGTCCGAGGAAAAATTGATCAAAAAACAAGTAAAAAAACATAAGTTTCGGCCGGGTCGAACTTTTAATACCCTCCACCTACCTTAGGGCAAAGAAAACATTAGAACCAATTATGACCCACAAAAACCAATTTTTAGACATATTCGTGGGAAAATGTGGCGAAAATCATTAAAATACCGAATATCGAGAGGTACCGTTATATGGGGCTATACCAAAGCGTGTACCTATACATACAATGTTTCGCCACACGAACCCATTATGGCCTACAAATACCGATTCTCAGACAAATCCGTGAAAAAATGTGGCAAAAATCATAAAAAAACCGAATATCGGGAGGTACAGTTATATGGGGGCTATACCAAAACGTGGACCTTTACATGCAATGCTTCGCCACCGGAGATAGAACCCATTATGACCAACAAATACCAAATTTTAGAAAAATCCATGAAAAAATGGGGCAAAAATCAACAAAATACCAAATATCGGGAGGTACCGTTATATGGGGGCTATACCAAATCTAGGACCCATACATGCAATGTTTCGCTACCGGAGCTGGAACCTATTATGACCAACAAATACCAATTTTGAGACAAATCCGTGAAAAAATGTGGCAAAAATAATCAAAATACCGAATATCGGGAGGTCCCTTTATATGGGGGCTATACCAAAACTGTAATTATTGGTTGTGTTGCACAGTGTAATCCTCGAAAATTATTCTTTAGAACTCAAACTTTCTGGCTCTGATATGGCTTTGATTTAATATTTCTTAAAGAACTCCATGTTTTCGGCTTCACTTGTGCTAGGGAGATGTATGTTAAGAGTATTGTCTTGACAGTCCCTGAAAAGGATATTTTTTAAAAACTCAATACAGATTTTCACTTAAATCCACCCTGAAAAAAATTTCATTCTTCAATGTGTGAACTACCCTATTGTTATTCATTTTCCATATCTCCTTATCTACATAAGAGAGGTATCTGAATTACATAGCTCATATTTTATGTCAGCTTCAATTCAAACCACAATATTGTGTTTTACTTTTTCGCAGCTTATCCACGGTTCTTATTAACTTTTCCTATGAAAGTAAGTATTTTTGTTGTCTTTAGTTCGGGTTTGTTTAATTTTTAAATCCTTTTTTTATTTTGGGAATATTCAAAAGAAAAACAAACGCACACACGCACAATTTATTATTCAGCTGCCACAGGCAGTGGTAAACCTTTCTTTGCTTCTCAAAGAAAGCACTTGAGCACTTCTCAACAAGTGAGAAGAACAAAAATTAAATGTGGTTTATCACAAAGGGGTTTCTTTAAACATAGATGTGAGTTATTTAAGTAATTTGGGAATGTAGAGAAGCGTTTGCAGACAATGACATGATATAAAGCTAAACGCCAAGTAGAACTTCATTTGGAATAACTCAAACTTTTTTAAAATTAAGTTTTGATTTTGGCCTTAGAAAACATACTAATCTTCCATAGAGGGATTCGTGAAATTTTTAAAAGCTAACCAAAATCCTTTCGCTCTAGAAAAGGTTCGTGAAGATATCATCAGTAATCTTAATATCAACTTTTAGATTTATATCTCTATCCCTTCAACGAATACCAATTACAGTACCATTCAGTATTTTTCGTACAAATACTTCATATCTGAATTCCAGACATCAGTAAAGACCCTAAACATCAGATTTGAGGATTCTAGCCCTATTTCTTTATCCAGCATATATTTAGTACCATTTGGTACTTTTCTTACAAACTACCGCCAAATCTCAAACATAGCATCAGTAATCTAAATTCAGAGTTTTATCTCATTCACCCAATAACAAAATAGTATTGAATGGTACTGTTCAGTACTTATAGTACACGTTTCTGAAACCATCTGCATATATCAAGGCTACATGTGAACAGGGACCCCTATACCAAATTTCAGATTTTAAAATTCATTTATACCAAATATAGTACTATTCGTGAGCTTGGAGTACACATTTCCAAAACCACCGCCAACAGGGACCCTAATACAAAATTTCGAAGTTCCAGCTTCATTTAGTGCAGTTTATATACATTTCCAAAACCACTTCGTAAATCAATATTATCCTTTCAATTTCAAGTTTTTTGCTGTAGGTGTAGGTTATCATATGGTCGGCCCCGTCTGACTTTTTTCCTTTCCTTACTGGTTTCTAATTGCGAAACCTTATTTTCATTTGGTACCATTTTTTCAAATATTTTTATATAACGTGATACACCAATAAAATCATGAGGCCCCTTCAAATATTGATTTTTGCCCATTCTATTTATAAAAAATTTCATATTTTGTCCACCTTAGGGTAAAGAAAACATTAGAAGAAATGAGGCAAAAACCATTAAAATGCCAAATCGTGGGCCTACACATGCAATGTTTCGCCAACGGAGCTAGAACCAATTATGACCTACAAATACCAATTTTCAGACAAAATCCGTGAAAAAATGTGCCAAAAATCATCAAAATACCGAATATCGGGAGGTACCGTTATATGGGGGCTATACCAAAACGTGGACCTATAATTACAATGACTCGCCACACGAACTGGGACCCATTATGATCTACAATTACCAATTTTCAGAGAAATTCGTGAAAAAATGTGTCAAAAATCATCAAAATACCGAATATTGGGAGGTACCGTTATATGGACACTGTACCAAAACGTGGACCTATACATACAATGTTTCGCCACACCAAATAGGACCCATTATGACCTACAAATACCAATTTTTAGACAAATCAATGAAAAAATGTGGCAAAAACCATCAAAATACCAAATATCGGGAGGTACCGTTATATGGGGGCTATACCAAATCATGGACCCATACATGCAATGTTTCGCTACCGGAGCTGGAACCTATTATGACCAACAAATACCAATTTTTAGACAAATCCGTGAAAAAATATGGCAAAAATAATCAAAATACCGAATATCGGGAGGTCCCTTTATATGAGGGCTATACCAAAACGTGGACCTATACGTGCAATGTTTTGCCACACGTTCAGGGACCCGTTATGACCTACAAATACCAATTTTCAGACAAATCCGTGAAAAAATGCGGCATAAATCATCAAAATACCGAATATCGAGAGGTACCGTTATATAGGGACTATACCAGAACGTGGACCGATATATCTCATTTTCTATACCAACCATCCTAGACACAATACCAATTGCTCTGCTTAATTTTGGCGCTCTACGTCAAAGAATTTTATGCTGATTATGAATACATATACTTTATGGTGTCTACGACGAATACTTAAGGATGTTACAAACGGAATGACAAAGTTAATATACCCTCCTATCCAAGGTGGAGAATATAAAAAGGAACATTAATTGCGATGTTATTTTCCAACTCCCAAAGAAATAAGAGGAGAAAACCCAAAAGTGGCATCCATTGGTAGTAACGGCTTCAA